ATCCTAGACCAAGCTTCATTTGATCATTGTTTGGGTTTTGATGGCTCAGAGTGAGTATAAACAGCAATTGTTTATGTTCTGGCCAGAAACTCTGAGAGTCTTCATCTTCCCAGTTTGATTTATTTTCTAGCCTTTATTAACTGAATGGTGTTGCCTCAGACAAACTGAGACCTGGGAAAGACTTTATCTTAAAAAGGCCAAGATATCCCACTACATCTGAGGTCTTCTCTGTCATCCTGACCTTTGTTTTACCACTGGATTCAGATGACCCTGGAAGACAGAGTGAGACAGATGACTTTGCACTGCCCTGCCTCACTGAAATCCAATTCACTTGCAAGTCAAGACATCACCCTCCTGATGTCATTGGCTCTCTTTGAGAATGAAGGACAAACAGCAAGGACGTTTGCATCCCTGAGAATTTATGAGCCTTAATCTTCTACTTTCATTTGTCATCAGAATTTTTTTTTGTGGTGACAGTTATTTCCTCTAGTAGACTCATTGGTAATATAACAAAGTTCTCACACTTAGCTTAATTTTTGTATCTGGTCTAAAAATTGTGATTCTTAGCACCCTCTGCTTGCTTTTTCACTATTCTGCTTCCGTCACCACAAAAGTAGATGCTGGCACAAGACTGAGAGCAATTCTACATTTTTATCTGTTCAGTTATTCTCCATGGCCAAATCACTTATATGATGGCTAGCCTGCTGCTGTTGCACTTCTTCATATTTATCTAGGCTAGTTGTTACACATAAGATATAGTGGATTGTTGAGACCATACTTGAAGCTTTTACAGCCTTGTAGAATCATCCAGAACTTGTCCTTCATTAGCATAGCCTTAGAGAAACCAAGGTCACTTCTGTGGTATGATGAGGCATTATATGTAACATTGCAAAGATTTTCTTTCTTTGAGTAATGGGAGAAAAAAGGTCAAATTTTTAAGGTTTTGATTCTTATCTCACAATTCTAGTAGTTCACTAAGCAAATCTATTATTTGATTTTCAAAGGTATGTAAGTAGACAAAAATACATTGTTCACTGTTACAGGAAAAAAAATGTTAAAATTAGTTTGTTAAGGTCATTGCTTTTTAGGGCAAGGATATATCTCTTTCTATGTGTTATCTCCTAATCAATCTCCATTCATTTTTTTTTCTGCTGTAATAGTTGATTATGTAGGATTAAAAATGTGGTAACCCTCATTCTAATGCCTAAAATAACCATTTCAACTAATGGCATGGCCTACTACTGGTTTTGGTTAAGGAGTATACAAAAGAACCAAGACAAACAAGGTATTGAATCCACTTAGTAAAAGTAGACATTCTGTATCATTCAGGCCAAAAGGGCCACAGAATTGGAATAATTGCTTTTCAGGAATAAAAAGGGAAATAAAATTTAATTTTGAACTTTTCGAGGGTTACACTTAAAGTTTGTTTTGAAATAGGAAGGAACACATTTATAGCTTAAAATTAAATATAAATATCCCTATAAGTTAAGACTGTGGGTAAATAAAATTAAGTTGAAATTAGGTTTATTAAGAAAAAAACCAGTAAGTTAAACCCACTTATCACAAAGGATATTTGTTCCCTTGTCTATTTCTATTTGTTGTTGTAATGTCAAATTTTCACATGACAAGTTTTAAAAGTAAATTAAATTTTTTTTCTATTGTTAAATACATTCAGTTATAAGTTGTGTTTCTTCTTTTTAAGGGTTGTTAAGCATTTCTCTCAGAAATCATATTTGAACTAAGAACTAGCATAAGAGAAAGCTGACAAATGTTACAAAAAGATTTAGAATGACAAAGCCATTCAACTTTATTAAGGGAACTACTATGTTTCAATTATTATCATGGACTCCAAGAAAAATAGAAATGGTGACAGACATTGCCTGAACAATTTAATTCATTTCCGACTTAACCTAGTGCCTTTTTCCTAGAGTATTTGTTTTGAATTTGCCAATTAAATAATATAAGTTATTTTCTTCTCATCATCTTCATCATTTTGTGGTCATTCCTCTTGGTTATTCCTTCCTGAACTCATTAGACTGTAAGCTCCTTGAAGACAGAGACTATCTTTTTGCTTCTTTTTGTATCCCTAGAACTTAGCACAGTACTTGGCACACAGTAGGTGCTTATTGTTTATTGACTGATTGATTATGCATTTTATATGTCATCCATGCATAAAAAGTTCTTTTCAACTTACCATTGTTAGAGAGTTTTTCAATAATAGTGATGAGTTTGCAATGATCTACCATTTCTTTCACTTGATCCTCATTATGACTGATGACACATATTTGTGAGATGTCTAAGAAGGTTTATTGGTACAGTCTATTATACAAGAGTTAAATGACATCCATAGGAATCTGCTGTGAAACTTGACCTTCTTAGCATGATTGTGTTGTTCTAACTGGTTGTTGAATAAGAGACTAACTCCTTAATGTTTTGTATTCCTTTGTATGGTGGCAGCTAAGTGGTTCAATGGATAGAGTACCAGGACTCAAATCTGGAAGATCTGAGTTCAAATGGGACCTCAGACACCAACTGTATGACCTCAAGCAAATCACTGAATTTCTGTTTGCCTCAGTTTTCTTAATTAAAAAAGGAGGATAATAATAGTACCTACTTCCCATGGTTGTTGTGAGGATCAAATGGCACGTTTTTTAAAGAATTTACCATGGTACCTGGCATATAATAGGCTCCTAATAAATGTTTCCTTCTCCCTTTCCCCTGTGTGTATACGGTTTTTAAATGTAGTGTCCTTTTTGCTCAATGTCTTATTCTAATCTCGTTTTCATTAAGTTTTTTTAGTTCATCATTGCTAAGTGTTTTGTGACTATTACATATACACGTATATACATGTATTTAATGTCACCAAGTAAATTTATTATGGATTTATCATTTAAAGTTTTCCCATATTTCTAATCTTTTTAGGTCCATTGGTATTAGTTCTTCATCTTCCATAATGTTTGCAAAACTTCCCACTTAGAATCTTCCGCACATTTCATTAACATGCGGCTTAACCTCTTCTTGCAGATCATTAATAAAAATGTTAACTAAGACCAAATCTAACATTGACCCTTGTGCCTTCCCACCACACACTTCCTGCTAACTGAGTATATTACCACATATTACTATACTTTTTCTATGGTGTTTCAGAATTTCAGTGATTTTGCTCTCATCCAAGCTAACTCAATTGTATGAGAAAGATTTCCATAGATTGTAGCATTGAAAGGACACAAAAAACCTTATTTAATTCAATTTTAATAAAGCTTAGTAAAGTAACTCATTGTTTCTAGAATAACTGTCCCATGAATTTTGGTGAATTTAAACTTGAGTATCTATGGAAAACAAGAAAATGGCAACCATCTGAATGTTAGCACATTCAGGGTAATACATACTTGGACAGCTGTCCCAGTCCTATTTTCCTTAGGGGAATATACAATTAAATCAAAAAGTAATAGTTTTTTTTATGGGCTATCAGAAATGGTAATGGGCATGTTTGATTATTAATAGAATCTGTTTCAGGAAAAAAAATACCAGTGCTTTGGGCCCCAGAGTATATACAAACTTAGCCTTCTTTTTATAAATTGACCTCCCTCCCTCCATTACCCATGGGTAAGCATGCCTTTAAGAAAACTTTATTCCCAATATCATCTGGTATACTACTGAGCTCCTAAAGCAATCTGATCACCACAGCTGTAATAAATAAAGCATCAGTGCCATAAGTATTCATGCCAAATATTATTCAGCATTCTTTTGGTCAGACTCATCATTTGATGGAAACCAGCATGGTGAACTTACTGCTATTTCTTTTCTCTAATGAGTACTGGAGTGCTGAGTAACAATGAAAAAATAAGAGTTAAAGTTCAAGCAAGAATGATTGGGTTCTTTTTCCTTTGTTTATTCATTTTTAATTTTTTGATTTATTTTATTTTTAGCAGCTTGTTATTGTAATCAGGTTTTAATTCCAAGTTGTGGATAATAGTGCCCCAGTCCTCAGGTCCCCTTTACTGTTATTTTCTGAATTCTTTCTGGAATGATAGAATTATAATTATAGAATGCAAACAACACTAATGTTTCTCATATCGTTGTATTTAAAAAGTTATTAAGACATTGATATAGAGATTTTTTTTAAATGAAGGAAGGTAGTTGGGTTATCATAGTTGAAGATATATATGTAACTAGAATTAAGCAATATTTTCCATTCTAAAAAGAAAAGGTAATAAGAAAGTGGCTTTCTCACCCTGAAAGATCTCTCCTCACCCGTACACCCTTTCTCTAATTGGTCAGAATCTGCATTTTAAGAATAGTGACCAGCTTCATACAGTCATTCTTCTATGGTCTCTGCTCCTGGCTCTCTGGACTTCTTCTTTTTTTTATTTATTCCTTTTTTTTTTTTTAATCATGTCCTCTCTGGCTTCCTTCTCTCTTCTCAAGCACTTTCATTTTCAGTTTTATTTTTTAATGTGTTGTTTTTTCCTACTAGAATATAAGCTCCTCAAGGGTAGGGAATGTCTTTGCTTTGGCTTGTATTTCTAACACTTACCACGGTACCTGACATATAGAATGTGTTAACAAATATTTGTTAACTTGACTAGGTGAGTGAACTTTGCAAGTATGTTGGTTGGATAAGCATCTGTAAAAAATAAATGTTACATCCATGAAAATATGAGCAAGAATATTATTGGACTTTCACTGAATTTTTATGTTAAGTCATACAGTGTTATGATTTCAGGGATATTGTGTCATTTACTGTGTCTTTCGAGAGTTCATTTCATTTATTCAGGTCATATTTTAAGAGGAACATATATGGTTTGGATCTAAAACATAATTCTATACTACATCTAGCTGATCTTATTAAATCCAACCAGGAAAAGAGAGGTCTAATGATGTGAACAATTTCTGTGTCTTGAGTTGTTACCCAGCAAAGCTCCCGCCAAAGCGCTCACTTGAAATGAATTCCTTCTGGATTAAAAGAGTGTTTCCTCTTTGTTTCTCTCTCTCTCTAGGCTGAGGTTCAGTTATGCTACCTGGAAGCACAAAGGGATGCTGTAGAACAGATGTCCTTAAAGCTATACAGTGAACAGTATGCCAGCAGTAGCAAGCGCACAGAGGAGTTTGCTGATATGTCAAAAGTTCACACAGCAGGAAGTAATGGGTATGGAACTATTCTTTTTGTTGTTTTATTCTCACTAATGTCTATGCTGTTACATGATTTTCTATTGGTAGCTGTTAGCCAAAAGTTTTCTCCCTGGATGACAAAGAAACACAGAGAAGACTAGTATTCCCCTTCCCCCTCTCCACCTTCACCCTCCAAAAATACATAATAATAAGACTGAATTGAAGACTGTGAATGCTTTCTCAGTCCTTGTCATCAAAACCAGAACTTCCTGGCAACATTCATCCATTTTTGAAAAAAAATCAGCTCTCTGCTTCCAGGAGATCGGTTTTTGTCCTCTCAAACGTGAACCTTACTGTGGACACACAGTCCCTGGGGTATTAAGCCTGTCATTTTCACTAAGTATAATTTCTGGCATATTTTTCTCTCTCCTCTTTAACTTCCTGAGCTATTTAAAGACCTCTTTAAGGACCTCTTAAAAATGCTAGAACCTTGTTGGAAACTTTGAGAATAATTTTCTTCAATGACTCAGATAATTAATAATTGGTTACAGAGGGTTTTGGACTTTAGGCTATTCATTCAGAGTCATTTCAAGGCAACTTGAATGAGAATGCTCTTACCGGCCTTGTGCTATGTAAAATGCATAGTCACAGCCACAAATGGAACTAAGACTGGGACATGTCTTGGTAGTCTGCTAAGACAGTGCCATATTGGGGCACGTGATCTTCTTCCTACTTGGCGTTCCTTCTCTTGACCCCATATTTGTACATGGGCTGTCCCTCTCTCTGCTTGGAATGTTTTTCCTCCTCATCTTTGGGACCTCTAGTTCCCTTCATGGCTCAGCTTATACATTATCTCTTACATAAGCCTGTTCCTAACTGAATGAAAAAAAAAAACAACATTTATTTAAGTACTAACTTTGTACCAGGTAATGTGTTAAGCACCAGTGATACAAATACAAATGAACCAGATAGTCCCTGTCCTCAAGGAGCTTATGATCTCATAGGAAGAAACAGCATGTATAATGGACTGATATCCAGGGAAGAATTTTTGAAAATTGCAATGAACTTTAGCCAGTATTCTAACTATAAAGCAATTATGAATGGTACTACCAAAAAGCCAACCATGATATTTCCCTTATACACAGGAAGAGTTTTTAATAGAATCATATATTTAGAGCTGGAACAGACCTTCAAGTTCATGTAATCCAACCCTCTTATTTTACAGATGAGGAAACTGAGGTCAATCAATCAATCATTAAACATTTGTGAAGCACCAGCTATGTGCCAAGCACTATATTAAGTGCTGGGGATAGGAAAAAAAAAAGGTGAAAAAAAAATCCATGCCCTCAAGGAGCTTACAATCTAACCGAGGAGACGACATGCAAACAAATATATACAAAGTGAGTTTTATACAGGATAAATAGGAAATAGTTAAAAGGAAAGCATTGGAATTAAGAAAGGTTAGGAAGGCTTCCTGTGGAAGGTAAGATTTTAGCTGGGATTTAAAGGAAGCCAGAGAGTTCAGTAGTCAGAGCAGAAGAGGGAGAGCATTCCAGGCTTGGGAGAAAGCCAGAAAAAATGCCCTGAGCCATTTGAGGTGTCTTATTTGCAGAACAGCCAGGAGGCCATTGACCCTGGATGAAAGACTGTGTGTTAGGGAATAAGGTGTACGGAAGACTGGAAAGATAGGAAGGGGCTAGAATATGAAAGGCTTGAATGCCAAAAACAGCATTTTGTATTTTCTCCTGCAGGCAATAGTGAGCCACTGGAGCTTCTTGGGAAGGGGAGGGAGAAATAATCTGACCTACCTTTTAGGAAAATCACTTTAGTAGTTGAATGGAGAATGGATTGGAATGAGGAGGGAGTTGAAGCAGGCAAGCCCACTGGTAGGCTATTGCAGTAGTCTGGGCAAGAGAGGATGATGGCCTGCACCAGAGTGGTGGCAAAGCCAGAGAAATTGATCTACAAAGTCATACAATAATAAAAATAAAGCTCTGCCTATCATGTGTTTCTGGTACCCATATTATACATAAAGTGAATTATTCATGCTATTGTATTCCTGGGTCATCATTGCCTTTGCAATTCTGAAGAAATACCCTGTCTTAAATTAATTAGAGATATAACTTTTAATTTTAAAGGTTAGCTATGAAATGGCCATTTTACAGACTGACTAGACCATGACTTCCAATATACTATCAATCATATTTACTGGAAGACTTGAAGGATCTGTGATTTCTTTAGCCAAGGGGGGACTCTTGGTGTGGGAGTTCCTACAATCAATGCAACCCTTTAAGAGTTAGAAGATGAGCCCCAGGGAGTTGCCTGAGGCAAACAGAATCAAGTTACTTAGGGGCACAAAGTTGTTATTCTTCCCAAAGAGGTCCAATAACATCACGAGAGTGATGTCTTGACTTCTCAGGGAATTGGATTTAAGTAAGGCAGAGCTGTGCATAATCATTAGCCTCACTTCCCTTCTCCACAGTCATGAAAGTCCAGTGGCAAAATAAAGCTTCATTCATTCAGCAAACACTCTTAAGTATGAAGGGCTCTATAAAGGCTGCAAAAATGAATAAATCAGTTCTTGCCCTATCTATTTTACGCTATCATAATCAATCAAACACCAAGCACTGCTAAGTACCAACTATGGCTACTATACTAGATGTTGAGAAACAAGTCAAAAGTGAAACAATTCCTGCCCACAAGGAGCCTACATTTCTATTTCTATTGCAATATATACATATGTCGTAGGTGGTGGGTGAAAGGTGAAATGATCGAGGAAACAAAGGTTTGATCTTCCAAGCACATAATTTTATTAAGCAATGGATGCCAATTGCCCAACAAACCTGGACCAGGAAAAATAGATATATGGAGATGGGGGTTGGGAGGAGCAGGAAAGGCCTTCTAGGGAAACTTAAGCTGACTCTTGAAGGAGAGTAGGGATTCTAAGAAGTAAAGGAAAGGAGGGAATGTATTCCAAACATGGGGAACAACCAATACAAAAGCCAAGAGACAGGAAATAGGGTGTCTTGTATGTGGAATGGTAAAGAAGCTAGTTTGATTAGACTGCACAGTATATGAAAGGGAACAATATGTAATAAGGATGAAATGGTAGGCTGGGGTCAGGTTATGAGAGGATTTAAATGCCAAACTCTTCCTTTATCCTAGAGATAATAGAGATACTAGAGTTTATTGAAAAGTGAAGGGATTTTCCCCTCCCACCAAAATTACTTCATATTTACTTTGCATATATTTTACATTTATTGATTTGTTTATTTATCCTTAAGGAAAGGGACCATTTAATTTTTGTCTTTTACATGGTACTATGGCCAGCATAAAATAGGCCTTACTAAATGAATTATTGGATTGATTGAGACACACTTTTAAGTGTCTTTGAAACCAGATGCCCTAATGAACATTGAACAATTACATCAAGCACCCAGAAAGTTTCTAGTATTTGGATGTTCAATGTTAGGTAAACACAATTTACATCTTAGTCTCTTCTTTAAAGGCATATGGTTCACCATTCAACAATTTGTTATTATTAGTCTATTGTTTGGATTGAAGTAATTCTGAGATTTCATCATTCTATATTATGTTTTAATACCTTGGTAATTTTTCAACTTTTAAGTTTTAATGAAGGTGCTGACCTGCATCAATAGAGTTATTTTTCTTTATCTTTTTTTTTGTTTAGTATTTATTTTATTTTATTTTTTGAGTGTTTTTCACTAGAAGAGGTTTGACCAAACTCTAAATTCAATGACATAAGGAGTTTCCAGTGAGAAATTCTCTCAGCCTTTGCATTGGCAACTGCTTTTCAACTCATACTCTTATAGAAGGAGTCAGCAATTGTGTGTGAGCTAAGAGTGTTTTTTTACATTTTAAAATAAAATTTTATTTTATTAAAAAATGTAAAAACCATCCTTAATTTGTGGGCCATACAAAACCTGAATGTGGGTCATATTTGGTGCTCAGACAGCTGTTGGTCATTGTTTAGAGGGTTGATTGGGGTACCTGGAAGTTAAGTGACTTGCTTAAGGCCACACAGTCAATATATGTCAGAAGTAGGGCTTGAACTAAGGTTTTCTGAACTTCAAAATCAACTATACCATACAAAATAAATAGGAGAAATATTTGGAGGGGAGGGTACTAAGAGATGAGGGATATGGATAAAGAAAGGCTTTGTGGAAAAGGTGTAACTTTTGTTGAGCTTTGATGAAAAAAGGGGATTCTTAAAAGCTAATGAGGAGGCATTATATTCTAGCCATGGGAATTACCATTGAAAAGGCTGAGAGGCAAAAATAGATTATTGTGTGTGTGCAGAATGAAGGAAGCAATATATAATAAGGTTAAAAAGATAAATTGGACTCAGGTTTGAGAAAGAATGTGTTTCTAAAGCCAAAGAGAAGAGTTTATATTTACTGCTAAAGATAATTAGGATCCTTGGGAATCTATCGAATAGAGGAATAACACAATCAGACTTAACGCTTTAGGAAAGTGACTTTGGCAGCTGTATGGAAGGTGGATTGGAATGGGAAGACACTGGAGACCAGGAAACCAATTTGCAGTCTATCACATTTTGGATATAGGTTAAAGATGATTGAGTGGCCCTGTGAGTAGAGAGAAGAGGATGGATGCAAAAGATGTGGTAGAGATATAAAGGAAAAGATCTGGAAATTGATTAAATTTGTGAAGTGAGAGAGTATAATGCATTGAGAGTAATTCTGAGGTTATTAACCTGAATGATTAGAAAAATAATGGTGCCCTTGACCAAAATAGAGTTCAGAAGAGGAGTGACTTTATGGGGAAAGAATGAATTCTGCTTTGAACACAATGAGTTTGAGATGTCCATCAGATGTCCTAAAGAGAATATTCAGTAGTTCATGATAGATTTGTGGCTTGAGTTTGGGAAGGAGACCAGGAGTGGATGTATAGATCTTAAAGTCATCAGCATAGAGATGATAATTAAACCAAAGGGATCTACCAAGGTCACCATGAGAGTAGACAACATGGAATAGTAGAGGGCTCAGGACAGAATCT